GATGGGTTGGTAAAAGAGAGGAAACTATGGATAGAGTTTATGGTTGTTATGGTGGTGGCGGATAGCCAGTGGTGGTGTTTTGGGGTTTAAGAGTGGTGTGCAAGCAAACCTCTACGCTTATAGAGTGAGTGGTCCCTCCATATTGATTTCCAACAAATATAGTCAAAAACCCGCAAGGATTTTCATCATAAAAACCAATAAACACTCGCATATGAACCATGACACAAATATACGCATAATTATATTGTGGATTGTCCAGTTATCTTCAAGCCAAGGATTGCTCCAAATTTCATACAAGCTGTAAGTTGACAGATTCAAAACTGGCCTGCTCGAATGTCTCTGTCAAGCCGATCTGCGTTGAGAGTCCCAGGAATTTCTCTAAAATCTTCATTGAAGATAGAATATGCACTGCAAAAATTAAGGATGAGCAAGTGTTAATAGCATTCTAACTTTTTCATTGTTATTGATACTGGTGGTCAACACGAGAAGGTTTGCATTTCTTTCCATATAAAAACAATCCCAGGAGACAGAATATCATATGCACTGCAATTTGCAAGAACGAGTAAGCATTAATAGCTAAAACTCCTAAGTTGTTATAAACATGTAATGAGTTATGGTGGTCAACACGAGAAGGTTTGCATTTCTTTCCATATAAAAACAATCCCAGGAGACAGAATATCATATGCACTGCAATTTGCAAGAACGAGTACGCATTAATAGCTAAAACTCCTAAGTTGTTATAAACATGTAATGAGTTAGTTCCTAGGCTCTGCAACAAATACAAAATATGCAACGACGATTTTGCAAAACAGAAATGCAGTTTGATATGCGCTCCATGATAAGATTAAACAACAACTGAAACATATACAATCAGTGACTTTATTATGAATAAAATTGTGCAGTGGCAAACGTAAAAATAGAGAAGCACAAATGCTAACTTGTTGATTATTTCCGAGTTAGGATTGACAAAAGTGGTTAGGACTCCACTTTCTTTATTGACAAGCAAAAATGACCAAGTCTTCAATGAAGTCTAGAAGAGTTACAAAAGCAAATATACTACGACAACGATGAAGACTAATGCCCTGGACAAAATTAAATATTAACCATAATTGAAATAAAAATAAAACTAGTGAACATAAAATTTAATTTTTACCTACGTAACTCTAGCTCAAAGCAGTTATATGGATTCATTGATAATTTTAATTTTTACCTATGTATCTCTACCTCAAAATCACGTATAAAGTTGAACGTATTTTTACCCAACAAAACATCTCATTTCATACTATGATGTCTTTTGCAATTTTTTTCTTCATTGTGATGATCTCCATATCTCCAACGCTTTTCTTTAGTTCTCCTGTGTCTATTTTCTTAACAAGTTTTCTACTGTTTCTCTTTGACCTCTACACTGGTTAAAGAATGAAAAATAGAATTATCGAACAAAAACTCTATTATCGTGATTGTAGAAGTTAAAATTAGGGGTAACATATTCTTGTGATAGTAGAACTTAAAATCATTGGGCACTAGTATAGTTGTTGAGTTAATTATTATCAATATACGGCTTTATTGCTTTGAGCAATAAAATGGTGTTCCATTAAAAAATAGATATTTAGTGAGTTTTTTGGTCGTGAAAAGTAAATGATAAATTTACTATGTTCACATGTAATTGTTGTTATTTTCTCATCATATATTTGGAAATAATTAAGGAAAACCAAAATTCCCCCACCGGATCAGTTCTGTTGGGTTCAGTTGAAACCAATGACCCTATAATAAACGACACAATTCCTTGCCAATTTTATTGCCTTAGGTCGACTTTTATAACTATGGCCTAAAGTCCTTGGCTGACGATCTCCTTCGCCTTGCCTTTGTCAAATTTCTACAAGTACAGGTATTGCCACTTCCGCATCATTAGAAAACATAAAAATTAGATCACTTGATGTCTTATGCATCGCACACTAATATCTCCAATATGATCTTATTCCCATGGTTTGGATCTATTTAAAATATTTCAGCCATGATATTCTTTCTTATGGTTACTGCAAGTGCGAGACTATTCCCCAAAAAAATACCCAAATTGTGACCAATGAAAGTATAAAAAAGACATGATGACCCGACTCCTGACTTGATTAGAACAAGACTGCCTCCCTCGGGTCATACTTCATTCAGTTATCAATACAGTCATCATTACTCCGCTGAGTCTCTCTCTTCCACACCATGATAAGACATGATTATTAATTTCTAATTCCAGAAGAGCATCGTTAGATTGAATATAAATCCAGTATTCTGACGGTCTAGGTGATTTCCATGCCCTGATGCCTTGTTCAATCTTTTAGAGTGACAAAACTCTCCAGAGATGCAACTTTATTTCTTCGAAGGCCTTTCACGAATGCTTCTTCCCATTGTGGACAAGAACCATTGAATATAAACTATCAGTGTGACTTAAGTCCTATTGATGTCTTGAAGAAGTTCCTGTGTAAAGGGAATAGTCCGGGCTATAAGTAGGTTGGTAACTACTGCTATACGGGTGTATGCCTTTACTATAAACCCAGTTTAGTGAACGGCTTAAAAACTATTGTTCTTTGCATGCTTACTTTGTACTCGTTTACAAGCTCAAATAGCACTTGTACCTTTACGCAGTAGCTTCCACATATATCTGAAATTGCTATACAATCTCTTATGTTTGTGCTTAAATAGAGAAAACTCATGGACCTGAATCTTCCAAGGTCGCTTTCCCTTCCCAGTAACCGAAAATCGATAATCCAATCAGTACTCAAATCAACAAGAGCCAAGCATATACAGTTCTTGTGCAATAAAAACTTCAATTGCAAATAATACTTGAAGACTGCTAGAGAAAATTCAAGGCATGCTGCAGTACCACTATTTCTTAAGGCATTATATGCAGGACCCATCAAGGGTCACAGAAAGGGATACAAACAAATTGCTTCCAAGATAAAATGAAGCCCAAAAATTTTCTTAGCTGTTTCTTGCACGGTGAATTGCAGAAGTTTTCGTAGTTGGTAATAATATGTTTTTAAGCAATTTTATTCTATGCGAATAGGAGATGCTGAAGATGTTCTCAATGGCTTATATATCTTTTATTTCCAACGAAATGTGTCAAATATATTCAATAAGACTCGATGTCTTTCAATGTGAGAAGTTTTCTCATTATATAAAACCAAAATCATAACTAAATACGGTAGCTATAAATTACAATATTCATTAATGGTTACCAAAATCACAACTAAATATGATAGTTATCAATTACAATATTCATTAATAGTAGCATATTAAATATGGTAGCTTTCCTAATATTCCACTGACATCCCCCTCAAATTGATGCTGCTATAATGAACTAACAGAGGTGATAATGCTCGTGCTTATGAAAAAGAGACACAAATCACAACAACCATCTATGGAAAATAATGACAATGAGAGACTCAAAAACAACAAATAGTGTAGAAATAGTCAAGAACCATTACTAAGCCACTCCAAAGAGCTCACACCCCCTAGAAGAATTTTCAAAAGAAATTCATGAAGTGTGTCAACCACACAGTGAGCTCTATCAATCGTGAGAACACAATCAAACACATAATTTGTGTTCTGACAAAAACTATAACAGCCAACGCATAGGCCAAAAATTCAGCAATATATCACTAGCCAAGATACTGCTATTAGAAGAAATCACATGAAATAGCCTACATCAAAAACTTAAAGATGATCTTCCTTCGAGAATCCAAAACTTTAACTCATTATCAGAAAACCAAAACCACAAGAAGAAGCATTTTCACATCTACCAAGAAAAACCCTTTAGTATCCACATCCTTCTTAAGACACCTTCCTACATGTTTCTCGTCATTCTCACCCATTAACTTTGGAGTCAAAATCAAATATTCATACAAAAATATCTAAGAATTATGGTTTTTAGTATCCACATCCTTCTTAAGACACCTTCCTACATGTTTCTCGTCATTCTCACCCATTAACTTTGGAGTCAAAGTCAAATATTCATACAAAAATATCCAAGAATTATGCAGTCCCCCCAAAAAATCAATAATCAACAGTTCCATGCAGCTCAATATTCAACCTTAGTCACTAATCTCGTAGAATTTGAAATAAAGTAGCCCAACAACACTTCAACTTAATAATCAACCCACAAAAAAGTAGCCCAATAACCTGTCCAATACGCTAATAAAGTGGCTCAAACTAAAAGCAAATATTGTAGCCCAATAATAAGTCCAACAAACTAACCCACAAAAATAGTTAAATAGTCCAACTAAAATTATGGCCCAAATCAAATGCAGGCCAAAATGAAACATTTAATCAGCCCAAATTAACCACAGTAAACCCTTAATCAGCCCAAAATAACAACAGAAAACCAAATAACAATTCACGACACCAAAATCACAAATTACCAAAATCAATCGCTGATATCCAAAAACGCAAGTTACCAAAAGCAAGAGATCGTTCAACAGATTGTTGAATTCTCCGACCAAAATCGCCTACAGCCCAATCAAAGAATAAACCCTTGGGGGTTAAGATGAAGTACACCACATGGTAAATCCATGTCATCGTGAAACACTAGCACTCGATTGAGAAGAAGCTTATAATAAGCTGCAAGTGGACCACTAGATTCACCACTCAAATTCATTAAGTCCAAAGTTTTGCCAAATAAACTAGATCCCAATTAACAAGACCTTTTCCAAAGATGGCCTGGAAGAAGACTGTTACAATTCAATTTTTCATAGTCAAAAATCAAGAATTGACTAGTCAAGGTCAAAGTCAATTAAGGACTAAAATGAAATTAAATATTTTATTGGGGTTTATTTTATAATTGGCAATA